GGCTGGGGATTCGAACCCACCACCTTAGGTGTACGTGGCTGGCGCCTTAGCCGGTTGAGCTATAGGCGCCGAGCCATCTATTTTTATTTTTGAAACAGAGTGTCACTCTGTGCCCTAGATAGAGTGCCATGGTGTCTTAGCTCACAGCAACTTCAAACTCACAGGCTCAGGTGATCCTCTTGCCTTAGCCTCTGGAGTAGGTGGGACTACAGGTGCCCACACCACCTAGTGTTTTCCTGTTTTTAGTAAGGCAAGGGTCTATTTCTTGCTCAAGCTGGTCTGGAACTTCTGAGCTCAAGAGTGATTGGGACTACTGGCACAAGCAACCTTGCCAGGCCACTGTCCTCTTTTCAGGACCTCAAGTTATATTTGGTGGGAGGACAAAAAGTCCTGGTAGGTGAAATGACACAGGCACAGCCAGAAGTGGGGCCATATCTCCAAAGTTCCAGTTGGGAGGTAGTGCAGAGGGAACACTCCTGGAGATGAAGGCTGAGGGAAGACAGTCTGACACTGTGCACAAACAGAACAGGGCAAGGACCCAGAGGTAAGACAGTGAAAGCCCTGGGGTGGGAGGGTGAGAGCCGCGGGGCTCAGCTCTGCTACATTTTCTACCAAGGTAACACCACTTGTCTGGGCCGCTGTTTTCTCATCCATTGCCCAGGCAGAGTATGAAGCAACACACAAGGTCACAAAAAGTTACCAGAGCCAGCACTAAACCAGAAAAAAAAAAAATCACATTACTTCTCCGAGCCCGAAGACTCCATCCCTAAGATGGAAAGGAAACGCCGGCTTCTAGCAGAAGTGCAGCTGCTGACTCTCTTCCCAGGGCCAGGCTACCAGGCTCCCTCCCAGCTCTGGCCCCAGGAGCAGTGGGGGCGACCCTGTAGCACCGGCTTCCCAGGGAGGCCTCGATGTGACCTTGGGCGCAGCCTTGCGCTGCCCAGCTGCACAACAGAAAAATCATAGCAGGCAATACCGCACCCCAGCAGACCCCGCCAGGATCTGGGCCTTATTCCACCTGAGAGCCCCCAACACTTGCCATCCCGTATCCAGGGCGGCGCCCCCAACCCTTGCCCGCCCCCGCCCCTGCGCCTAGCCGGCCAATCGGTGGCCTCCTTGACTAAATAAGGCCAGAGCCCGGGCAGACGGCCCCCACCCCCGTCCGTTACTTCCGCCCCCCCGCCCGCCGTGACTCAAGGCCGGCGGCGGGCGGGGACGGCGCTGCCCTGGGTTCGGCTTCCCGGCGGCCCGGTTGGGGCAGCAGTAGCGCCCAGATCGCCAAATATGGCCTCGCCCGCCGCCCGCGCACCTGGGCCGCACCTGACCCCGGCCGCAGTCGCGGCCTCGGAAGGGGAAGCAGCCGCCCCGCCCAACCGGCCCCGCCCCGCCCGCGCGATCCCAGGAATGCACCGTGGAACTGAGGGGAGGGTGGGGTGGGGACCGAGGCGTCTCAGGCTCGCAGTCCACTCCCCGCCTGTGCTGGAAGCCGGGTACAGCCCCTACCGGCACACACTCAGACAAAGGAGTTTTAAGGAAATCGGAGTCCGAGGAGAAGCAGGCCCCGGCCCCCACCCTCGCCCGGAGTTGAGAAGAACGTGGGGTGGGGGTGGGGGGCTGGACAAGGGTTGGATTCTTTCTACTGCCCAAGTCCCAGGGTCTGAGACATCTTATCCTGGGATCGCCCCACCCAGCGGAAGCCACCTCCCAGTAGTCGGGCAGGCCTGTGGTTCTGCCCAGGGACGCAAGTCAGGGTGGGTTTTCTGGAGGCCTAGTCCGGAGTTCTCCCACGGGGGTGCATATTCTTGACAGCCAGTCTTGCCGGCGGCTCTGGAAAATATGGGGAACTGCTGGGGGTTTCAGGACCCAGCACCCTCCCAGCTAGGCCTAGTGGTACGGTGGCCACTGGCGCAGTCTTGGCGTCAGGGGTGACTGCAGCCGGCAGGTGACCTGGGACATGTTCAGTGTTACAACTCTCCCAGATAGGGTCTCCAACTAAGCTTGCAGGCCGGAAGGCGGTAACACCTGGTGGGGAGCCTGGCCCAGTCCCCCAACCTGCCAGGGTAAAGCGGAGTTCCCTGCTACCTTGGAAGTGTCTGTCACTTCACTGCCAAGCGTCCCCCGCCACGCTCTTTCCACGCGCTCCTTCTGATGTTTGAGTTTCTTATTAAGCAATTCCAGAAGTTCACAAACCCCAGGAAACCATCGTGCCAGGTTACCCACCGAAACACCAGAGTAGGCTGGTGCGGTCAGGACCCTGCGGGAGGTTACAGGTGTGCCAGCGCAGACTCCTGAAAACATGTTCAGGAAAACCCACTGCCCGGGGACAGTCTGGGGTCAGTGCGCCATAAACCGACACTTTCCTAGAATCGCCAACAGAAGAGGCTCCTCCCCTCCTAGCACTTTCAGGACGAGAAGAATGGCCATTTGGAAAGTCAGGATTTATTTCACTTCCCTACCTCAGTTTCTCTACAATGTCCCCAGGTGACCATAACGAAACAAAGTCCCAGCCCCACGGCTCACTCTGGATGGAGGCAGTGGAATGACCCCAAACCCGGAGGAGAGCCGACGCCAGGGAACAATCGGGCCTGTGGTTTGAGGGACAGGATGTGTCCCGATAGACTGGGGCCTCCGTTTCCGCACCGCTGTGGGTTCCCTCCTGCCATGTAACGGCCTGAGCGGTCGCGACTGCCCTGGGAGACCAGCATCTCCTTCCCATCGCCAGGGGGGAGAAGTGGCGGCTCTCTGCTGTTTCCCCGCGCCTCAGGCTTTAGGACACCCGGAGAAAGGCCAGCTGGGACCCCAGCCCTGCCCCTCCCCCAGCTGTACCGGCGCCGATTTCCGGCCTTTGCGACCAGGATTCCCTGGCAGGGCCCGAAGGAAACACTCGCAGGGGGCGTCTCGGGGGGCAAAGTACCCCCATCAGGGCCGGGGCCGCGGGGACTCACCCCAACTCTAGGCCCACCCGCCCCGGGCCACGTAGTTTCGGGGCGCAGTCTGGCCCTCCCCACAGCGTGGCAGCCCCAAGGCAGGGCCCGACCAGTCACCCCGCGACCCTGCGGGCGACCCCCCAGAGGCTCGCCGGCC